CACCGCAACCCTAGAGTCGGATTCGACTGGCTTTCGAGCAAGGGAACCTTTACCTTTTTATAGGTGGTATAGATCTGCATCGGATGAAGTGAGTGCCCCAAACCTTATGCTAGAATAAATTTTGCCAGTCTTCTAAGATGTCACCAAAGGTGGACTTTTGTTTTTGAACTTGTCAAGTAACTTGCACTTTTATGGATGGCAGAGCCTGGTGTGTTTAGAATAAGGACAAACCAAGGTGTGTGCCTTTCACACAAGTATGGTGTCCGTGTTGTTTGGGAATCCCAACAGAAAGTCTGCTGTAAAGATAACATTTTAAAAAATGGAACCAGGGTTGAGGATGATTCAGAATGAATGAAAATTGGATGTGATATTGTAGATGTGATAATTAAGTAAATACTATGATAGTTTTGAGGTAAATACTATGATAGCCTGTATGGCAGCTTCCTGTTTTACTGTATAGTAAAGAGACAAGGCAGAGACCCCAAGGGGACATTAGGGCAGTTCCCTCATGAACCTGATTACTCTTCAACGTTACCTACATCTCATCCAGCTTGAAACACAATTGGCCTATGTGTTAGGTTTGCAACCCAAAGGTTCAAACCTCCTTGATTAAAGAAACCAATCAAAAGATCTTCTGATAACATTGCCAGTTTTCATATTTTTATGATCTGGATGAAGGGGTAGAAGGGCTACTCATTAATTTGCTGATGATACCAAATTGGGAGGAGTAGCAAACACCCAAGAAGATAGAGTTAAAATTCAACAAGACCTGAATACTCTGGAGAAGTGGGAAGTTGCAAACAGGATGCAATTCAACAATGATAAATGCACAGTATTACAACTGGGCCACAAAAATGCAAAGCACAATACTGGATGGGGGATACGTTTCTGGGGAGTAGTGTATGCGAAAGAGATCTTGGGGTAAGAGTGGACTGTAAACTAAATATGAGCAGTTAGTGTGATGCGGTGGCAAAAAAGGCAAATTCAGTCTTGGGTTGTATTAAAAGGGCTATAGTATCGAAATCACAGGAGGTCATAGCCCCTCTGTATACTGCCTTGGTCAGCCACACCTTGAGTACTGTGTGCCGTTCTGGAGGCCCCACTTCAAAAAGGATGTGGACAAAATCAAGAGGGTGCAGAAGAGAGTGATGAGGATGATCTGAGGAGACCGAGCCCTACGAGGAAAGGGTAAAGGCCTTGGGAATGTTTTGTTTGAGGAAGAGGAGATTGGGAGGGACATGATTGCTCTCTTTAAATATTTGAAAGTGTCATTTGGAGGAGGGCAAGGGGCTGTTCCAGTTGGCAGCAGAGGATAGGGCCCGAAGCAACGGGTTTAAGTTACATGACAACTTTCAAGAAGAGGCTGGACGAATATTTGTCAGAGATGCTTTAGGCTGGTCCTGCATTGGGCAGGGGGTCGGACTAAATGGTCTGTATGGCCACTTCCAACTCTATGATTCTATGAGTCGTTTTAAAAAAAACTACTGAAAATGGTGTGGCTGAGGCACAGAAGCAGTGACTTTCTTAAAGCTACCTACATGGTCTACAGTGTTAGAATGATTGCTCCACTATTTTCCAAATGCAGTGGTCCTTCTGACATTTCTGCCTCAGTTAGTCTAACAGAGAAAAAAATATATGAGAGTGCGTGCTAATCGCATCCTATCCTTGAAGTCTGCTGGGTGAACTTTGGGCCAGTCACTGGATTTTCCTCTAAAACACTTCACAGAGTTTTTGTGAGGATAGAACAGTATGAGCAGAGGTGGAATGGCAAGGTTTTCTTTGCTTGCTTGGATTTCCTGGGCTGCTTCCACATGGACAAACTCTGCCTTTGCTTCCAAAATGGGCTGCTGTTTTGGGGGACTAGCCATACAACGTCACCCTCTAATTGTCTGCTTTCCAGTTTTTTCTTCTCTGAGGTATGCTTTTCTCAAGTCTAGTTTACTGTGATCTTTTCTGAAAGAATACAGCCCAAGCACATTGCATGCTGTCTGGATGGGAAAGGCAGACATTTGCAAAGGGCCTGGCCATGCTGATGCCATTTTCCTTAAAGCCCTTACAGCCGCCCTTTTCCCCATTGTGCCACTGCAGGGCTCCTTTAAAATTGGGAACTTGTCTACCAGTAATTTGTCTGGCACTATAATGTTCTCTCTCTAGTGCGCTACAACTCTATAGCGATTACAGAACTCCTTTTAAAAGCCCTCTGGTGGCATGGTGGGGGGAAATGCAGGGGAAACAGCGGCTGACTTGCGTTACATTCCAAGCTGGAGGAGAAAGTCTGAGGGTAGCGCTTTTTGATTAGTGATACAACTAAACCTTAAAGAGGAAAAATCCATTTGAGCCATATAATTATAAACTTCAATACTGCTAATTTTAAACAGCCTTAGGTGTACTGAACTCTGTGTGAGAAGAAAAGGGAGAGAAGAAAAGGTTTTATTTTTATTCAGGGCTATTTTTGGGCAGGAACACACAGGAACGGAGTTCTGGTTGGCTTCAGAGTTGGCCATGCCTACTACAGCCAAAACGTCTGCATGCGTGGCTACAGAGGGAAGGCCTGGAGAGCGACCCCCCCCCCCGCAACTCCGAGGCGGGTGGGCCCTGGAAGGATCTGCCTTCCCCGCTCTGTCCAAGGGCCAGCTTGCCTGGGTGCCCCACAGCCGCAGGGCGCCCAGGCAAGCCAAGGGAAGGCAGTTTAAACTGCCTTACCTTGCCTCCAAGGGCCGGCTAGCCCGGGCTCCCCACAGCTGCAGGACACCTGGGCAAGCTGAGAGAAGGCATCGGGTGTGGCCTAATATGCTAATAAGCTGTGCTGTCAGGGGTGTGGCCTGATATGCTAATCAGTGTCTGCTGTTGGTGTGGCCTATTATGCTAATGAGTTCCTGCTGGGCTTTTTCTACAAAAAAGCCCTGTTTTTATTCCTTTGCCTGTTTTACATGATCAAGTGTCTGCCAAAGGCTTCAAAGTTGGCCACTTTGTCTCTAGCTTTTTTAAATCATTGGCTAGTTCTTTTATCTCCTCAATCTGTTTTAGGCTTGTACTTTCTTTTCAATTTGACTAATTGGTTATTTAAAAAAAACAAATCCCTGAGTTTGCATTGGGATAGTATTACTCAGCTGTTTTTTTTTTAATTACAAAATTTTGCCCCAAAGTAAAGGGCATATGTAATGTATATGACAGCATATGTAATTTAAGCTCCATGGTTCTTGATCACATTGCCAATGGCTATTATGATATGGAAACACTCTTGCTAATTTTATCGTGAGTGAAAGACATCCTAGAGCTATTTTTTTAAAGTTATCTTTAAAGGAAATCTTGTTGCTGTGTGAGCTGTAGTCTAGGGTAGGAAGCTGGTTTTAGAACAGCAGATCATAAATTAAGGGCCCACAAGGAACAGAGGGATTGGTTTGTATGAACTCTTAGTACCCTAGGGGCCAGATTTTCATGTTAGCAGGATCTTTTTTTGAACATGAAATTTGGGACTATATAATGGCAGGGGTCATTTCCTGCAGGAGCAGAGCTCCGGCAGTAAAGAGCCCAGGGGACGGGCACATGCAACAAGCCCCACCCCCTGCTCCCAGCAGCCCTCAGTCAGAGCAAGAAGCAGCCAGGTAAGTTACAGAACACCCCCTCCTCCAAAACAGTCCAGTGCCACCTTTAAGACCAAGTTTTATTCAGGCATAAGCTCTCCCTCCTCTGCCAGGATAGATCTGCACATCCCCCCCCCCCAAATGGCTCCCAGTGGAGCCTGAGCAGTGGGTGCTGCCTTCTGATACCCTTCCTGTGATGTCAGGGGGTGTGGCATATGCAAATAAATTATGTTAATGAGTCATGCTAATAAGTTCCTCCGCCTCTTTTTCTACAAAATGACCCCTGTATAATAATGGTATGAGATGATGCGCTCCTGCAATACACCTGTGCATCTTCACTGGGTGCATGCACATGCTCTGCTGCATAGAGTCACATTTCATAGCATTTAGGAGCTCAACACAGAGGAGGAGGAACTCTTCAAATCTGGGCCTTTGACAGCGGTCATGCAGAAGTCTGAACTGCACAAAACTTCTTTCAGAACACCACATACTTTACGTTCCTGAAACTGTACATTTTGTGCCCGGTTGCACTTTTTTTTAAAGGGGGGTTTAGCAGGCCTCTTGCTTGCCCTGTCAGCCTCTTGCATCAAACTTTCCAATAGATTAGAGTTCACTTTGGAAGCTGCAGATCCGACCAAAAAATAAAGTCCACCCAAGCTTTAATGCTTACACTTCAACCTCTAAGCGTCTCGCGTCTCCTATTTACAAATTCCAGCTCGGGGAGCCGTGTTTAGTCTGTCGCAGGAAGAACGCATCTGATTAAAAGCGGCCTCTCGCCCGCGCGAGCTTCGGCTTCCATTAATCTGCTTCGAGCGCCACCCAACAGCGTTGCGGCCGCTGTCTTTCAAAGTACTTGTTTTTCCATGCAGCAACTGCGGCGTTTGCTTCCAGCGTCCCAGTCACTAAGTGTTACATTCAGACGACATGTAATGCCCAGGTTTAAAAAAACAACAACCCTGCCGGCAGCAAGAATCGGGTTACCAGACGTCCTCTTTTTTGGGTGGCAGCCCTCTTTTGGGCTCTTTTTGAAGAACTGATGAAAATCTCTTTTTGGGTTGGAAGGTTAGGAACAATGATCGCCGCTTAGGGTATTTAAAATGAGATTTGTCATGGTGATCACTTGTTAGAAGCGGTCGGTCGGGAAAGGCGTCCTCTTTTTTTCGCTTTTCAAACGACGGCGACCCCAGCCGAGAAGGAACTTCAACATTCCTCGTGCCTTGAAAAGTTTTCGCAAACAAGTAGTCTGGCAGCGGACAAGTTCCATCAGGCTCCACCCCCCTCCTTCCTCCTCTCTTTCTCTCCCCCCCAGCCGACGGGGCGAGGGAGGAAGCCAGGCTATTTATAGCACGGGGGGGGGGGTGTCTGTCCCGTGACGGCGAATG